ATGATATTTTAAGAAGAATTTTCATTTGCTATGAATAAATGCTTACAACATACTAAAAGACAAGCCCAAACAACTGGGGACTAGATTGCTTTGCTGGTAATTTCTCAACTGCCTAAAAGTAAAATCCCAAAACCAAAACCCAAATGAAACAAAAAGGACCCAAAAAATCCTGGGACCTAGGTAGAAACATGCTAACATGTTATCTCAACTCCAGATGATAGGATTGTGGGTGTTTTCTCATTTAAGTCCTCAGTTACTTTAAACTTTTCTTACCAGGAGCTGGTGTTTTTATAATCAGAGAAATACAAGTGGCCTGAGGAGGCTGCTCTAGCCCCTCAGCACGGGGAGTCTGCCACTCTGGAGGCTCATCCAGGTCAACATCCCCCACATCACCCCCATGTGACAAGTGCAAGTACAACCATAAACTTCTCCAGAGGAGCAACCTGTGCCTAATGGTATGCCCAGCAATACATACCAAGACTCAGCCGCCTCTGGATTCTAGACATACTCATGGCAACGATAGGATCACTGTGAGAGTGGACTACTCATGTCTGTCAGTTCTCAGCTTCCCAAGGAAAGGACTGAGCCAGTTGCCTCATCCTCATTTCAGAGATGGGAAGATGACAGTATTTTCCTTGAATTCTATCAGCTCTCAAAACAACACCATACCTGGCTGGTTTGGCCGGGCCCAAGGTCAGGACCAAGAATCAGAGCCACCTCCCTCAGAGACAAGCAAGACATGATGAACTTGCTTTAAACCGAAGGGCCTTAGAGGACCCTTTAGGAAGCAGAGTGCATACCCCCTTCTGTTATGTGACCATGACCGTGCCTGAAGCACAGGCAGCAGAGAGTCAGGCCTCAGTGCTGATGGAAGATGAGGAGCAAGGAGGGTAGTGGCATTTGGCTGCTGCTCCCTGCGCACCACCACCCTGGCCACGTCACAGAGAGTGTGACCTGGCTGAAGAAAAAGCACGGAATCTGCTATTGCTCTGTGTCTCACTTAGACACATGATGGAGTCATAGTGATAAGAAAACGTCCTTACCCTACAGGCAGTGTGACTCACTCCAACTAGGCTGGCCGGGCTACCATCGCTCCTGAGAGAAAGGGGCTCTCAGCCAGGTTCCCCTCCGAAGTTCTCTGCTCCATGGAGTGACCCAGGCCCCTGGGCCAATTTCTCCATTCTCCTTGGCCAAGAGTAGGCTGAACAGAGGGTATCAGATGCAAACTTTTTATTGAAGTTGGGAGAGTTGGTACTTTCATTGGTTTTACGGTTCACCTGTTGTCTTCATACCTGAACAATAACTAGTTGTTATTGTTAGGGTATCACAGGCAGGCAGGCAGGGGATAGGAATGGGGCCATGGGGACTTAGAAAGGTTGAAGGGCCACAAAGGTGGATTACACTACTTTCCAGTCCTCAGCATACTTTATAGTCATTCTCACCAAGACCACCTTGGGAGCCTCTAAGAAGTGAAGCCCCCAGGATGCTTTACTTTCTCAAGGTTCCTATAGAGGACAAGGGCAGTGAGGCAGTGGGGAATCATGGCTTTGCAACCAACTGGCTCCTCCACTGCTTAGCAAGTCACATCTCTTCTCTGACCCTCAGTTTCTGTACTGGTAAAATGGAGATGATTATTGCTACCTCAGTCTTACTGTGAATCCTCAGTGAGAGCTGGGCACTGTAGCTAACAGAGGGATCTTTGCATTCACAGGAGCAGTTAGTGTGCCTCACTCATGGCCATGAGGCTTCCTTGTGCTAAGAGGTAGGGATGCTCCCTGCCCCCGTCCCCCCCAACCCCCATACAGATGCACAACCTCTTCTAGGTGAATTCAACAACCAGGCAAACTGCAGGTTTCTCGTGGTCCCTGAGGTATGTTTCTTAGCCCTGACCAAACATGGGTTTATAACATGCCAACAAGTTACTCACTGGCTCAATTTTCAGAGCGTTCCGGTAGCTGCCGAAGAAAGCGGCCTGGGCCTTGAGGAAAGCTCTGGCCACACCATCGCCAGTGGTGGTGGAGACCTTCTTTAGCCGGCTCTTCAGTGAAGAGATCTGGTGACCGAGAGAAAGGAGACAAGTTGAGGGCAGGGCTGGAGGAGGATGGCTGGCTAAGGGCTCTAGAAAATCCCTGGCCAGAATCGACTTGTTCCCTTGGCTGCTGGGAGAGCAAAAATGCACTCGGTGTTGGGGCAGGTTTTTGACATTTAAATGAAGGTTGCTTTTATTAGAGCATATCTAATGAAAACACAAACAAACCACTTTCTAAGCAGTTACAATGAGCCAAGTAAGTGCTTCACATTAAATTTTTAATTTAATTATTTCAGCAATCCTGCAAGGAAGAAATTAGTGTTCCCATCTTATAAGGGTGAAACAGTCTCAGAGATGTTAGATCACATGCCTGGGAACAAACTTAAGAAGTGGCCAAGTCGGAATATGAATGGGAGCCTGTCATCTGACCCTAAATTACACAAAAATTTTCAGTTCCAATTCCATTCCCTCTTCACATTATTTACAAATATCAGAATAAGTGATTTACAATACTTAATATATTATCTACCTATAGATATAAAAGGCTAATAATGCTGTGTTTGCCTGGTTGCTATGATGCACACTGATCACCAGGGGGCAGATGCTCAACGCAGGAGGTGCTGAGCTGCAGTTACTTGGTGGCAGCGGTTCTCAGGTGATGCACCCCAAAACCAGAGAGGAGGGAGCCCGATTTCTCACGGGCTGGGCGATTCCACCTTTGGCCGTGGGTTATGTTGTGGCTGGGGCACTGTCAGCCCCAAATCTGGTTTACTGCACACTTGTGTTTGCGTTCCCCACCCTTTACCACAGCAATTTTGCAGAATGCCCTCTCGCACTCCGGGACCCCTTGGGGGATGTTGGAGAGCCAGTTTCGGCCCTATCCCCGCAGGCCAGGCCGAGGGACCCCGCTCACTCTGCAGATGCCGGGGAGGGGTCACAGGGGGTTGGCTCCAGAGCATGTCCAGCCCATCTCACCCAGTCCCTGCCGGCCACCTTCTAATTAATTTCCTTTCCATGTGCATAAATCCGTGCACCAGGTCACTAGTGTATAATAAATAAATATATGTTATATAGCTCACACCTTATACTCTAAAGCAGCGGTCGCCAACCGGTGGTCCGCAGACCACTGGTGGTCCATGAGGTCTGAAAGGTTGGTGACTGCTGCTCTAAAGGAATAGTAGAAGCTTATAGATAAGCACTCACATGCTAAAATAAAATAGATAAGAAAGCCATGGCAATGGGAAAAGTAGCCAGGAACAGATTTAATATGTAAAGAGAAGCCATAAGGTATTACATAGTGGCTAGAAATGAACTTTTGACTTAAGAGCCTCCTAGTGGTCAAAGCAAAAATGGATACATAAGAAGTAGTGAGATTCTTGGGTCCATCCATGTATTACAAACAAACCAGTTACCCAGCTGAACACAGATTTTCTTGAAAGTGAGAACTAAAAGAGATTCTTCCTATGAGTTCCCAATGTACGAATGACTATGACGTGATGGCTGCTGCCTTCAATATCAGACAGCATCAAGCTTCCGGGTTTGTTTCTAATATGCCCTTCATTCATCTCAGGATTGCACAACTGCTGGGCACATCATTCACACCGTGTTCCATGTGAAAGGTGTCCCTAGAATTGTGCAATGTGGTAACCTCGAGTCATTCATTTACTCAACAAATATTCATTATTTCCTCAGTGCCTGGGACTGTGTTAGGTGTTGAGGATACAATGGTGAACAAAACTAGACATAAGCTCTGCCCTCATTAAGGTTACACTCTCGTGAGGGAAACACCAATACTGTGACATTGCTACTGTGATGAGCCTCTGACAGCTCACCAGGGAGGTCAAGTAAAGCTTCCTGGAGGGAAACAGCCTTAGACTGAAATCTGAAGGATCAGCTGAAGGAGTCATCTAGGCCAAGGGAGGGAGGAACAGTGTACCAGACATGGGGAATAGCATTTGCAAAGACCCTGTGGTGAGGAGTCCAGAGAACAAAAAGGGCTGTGGCTTCAGTGGAGAGAATGAGGGGAAGTATGGCTTAGAATGAGGTGAGAGCAGGGGTCAGAGGAGCCTGTGAGAACACTAAGGAATTTCTTCCTTTATCTTGAGAGAAATATAAAACTAATGACTGTTTTTAAGCATGTGGGCGACATTTTACAGGCACATTTCAGGAACCAGGGGCTTAGATAAAGGACTATCTAATGGCTTGACATTATCTAAGGATAAAATTAGGAATAAAATAAAAAATTAGATTCAGGTGGTCCATGAATCATCTATAAATTTTTAATACGAAGGAGTGATGACCATTTTAGGAGGCATAGGTTCCATAGCTTTCCTCAGAATCCTACATAAACAAAAACTAAAATAAAAACCATTAAGAATAACTGATCTGGGATGGACTATATATACCTTTAGAAAGGTTCCATGAACATTACTTCTTGTTACTAAGTTTTTTTTTTTAATTTTTTTTATATATATTTTATTGATTTTTTACAGAGAGGAAGGGAGAGGGATAGAGAGTCAGAAACATCGATGAGAGAGAAACACCAATCAGCTGCCTCTTGCACACTCCCCACCTGGGATGTGCCCGCAACCAAGGTACATGCCCTTGACCGGAATCGAACCTGGGACCCTTCAGTCCTCAGGCTGACGCTCTATCCACTGAGCCAAACCGGTTAGGGCTGTTACTAAGTTTTTTTTAAAAAAATATCTTTTTTTAAAAAAAAATACATTTTATTGATTTTTTTTACAGAGAGGAAGGGAGAGGGATAGAGAGTTAGAAACATCGATCAGTTGTCTCCTGCACACCTCCCACTGAGGATGTGCCCGCAACCAAGGTACATGCCCTTGACCGAAATCGAACTCGGGACCCTTTAGTTCGCAGGCCGACTCTCTATCCACTGAGCCAAACCGGCTAGGGCAAGATATATCTTATAGTAACAGAGCTGAGGGGCTGTTCGCAGAGCGAGCTGAAGATGAATACCAGAGGACCCGCATCTCAGCTGAAGGACAGTATTCCAGTTACTGAACTTTCAGCAAATGGACCTTTTGAAAGTCATGATCTTCTTCGAAAAGGTTTTCCTTGTGTGAAAAATGAGCTTTTGCCCAGTCATCTTCTTGAATTATCAGAAAAAAATTTCCAGCTCAACCAAGATAAAGTGAAATTTTCCACACTGAGAAACATCCGGGGTCTGTTTGCTCCACTAAAACTGCAAATGGAATTCAAGGCAGTGCAACAAGTCCAGTGTCTTCCACTTCTTCCACGCTCACACCTTTCACTGGGTAATTTGAGGGGTAATGATGAGACCACTGGATTTGAATACACTCCTTTTTAAAATATATTTGTACTGATTTCAGAGAGGAAGGGAGAGGGAGAGAGAGAGACATCAATGATGAGAGAGAGTCATTGATCAGCTGCCTCCTGCACACACCCCACTGGGGATTGAGCCCAAAACCTGGGCATGTGTCCTGACCAGGAATCGAACTGTGACCTCTTGGTTCATAGTTTCATGCTCAATCACTGAGCCACCATAACTGGGCTGAAGATACTCTTAATGACCCATCACAAAGTGCACTAATGGAGGAATCACACTTGATGGTGGGATATAAACTTGGTTTAGTGCAATGCAGTGTACTGACCATGGAAATGGAGGGGCTACATTTTGTTTACAGTTTTTTACTATAATTTTATGTATACAACATTAAAAGTACTGACACATGAGAACTGCTGTCAAAAAGAAAAGATATATCTTACAGACCATAAAATTCATTCATTTAAAGTGTACAGTTCTGTGGGTTTTTTAGTGACAAGGTCATACAATGATCACTATTATCTAATTCCAGAACATGTTCTTCACCCCTAAAAGAAGACTCATTGGTAGTCACTTCTGATTCCCCACCAATCCTCTTTCCCCACCCAAGCTCTAGGTAACCACTGATCCACTTTCTGTCTCTATGGATTTGCTTATTCTGGACAGTTCATATAAACACAATCATGCAGTTATGCATGTAATCTTTTGTGAGTGACTTCTTTCACTAAGCATAATGCTCATTATGAATAAGGTTCATCCATGTTATAGCACTTATCAATACTTTATTCTTTTTCATAGGCGAATAATATTCCATTGTATGGATATACCGCATTTTATTTATTTATACATCAGTTGCTAGGCATCTTGATTACTTCTAGTTTTTGGCTATTATAAATAATGCTGCTATAAATATTCATGTATAAGCCAAAAGGACACATGGAACACAGTGCTTAGCACATAGTAGGCCATCAATAAGTGTTTACTGAGTACAGGGGAAAGAATCCTGTTTTGTTGTTGTGGGGGGCGTACCATATGCTTGGACAGTCAACAGAGTGTAGGTAGGACTGACATTCTCCTCTGGTAAGTCAGAAGGACGGGAACATGCGCTGAGAGGGTGGTCACCCCATCTCTGTTTGGAGGCAGACCAAGGGAAACAATTTTCCTCTGGAAGCAGTTTGGACTTTGCCTCAACATCTGAGTGTAAATACCTGGTTTATGTGACCTTCCCTATTCTGGGACCTATGAGCCCCTGAATCATAGCGGTGGGTGCTCCATGAGAAGCAACGCAGGCCATTTGGCACCCAGGCCGACTGCCATGGGCTTTCAACCCGAAATAGCAATGTGAAAAAGACACATGCTTTTTAAAAAAATTGTTGACACTATAACAGATGTCTCCCATCCCCTGCTCCTCCCCTCTTAGCCCTTCTTCACCCAGGTCCTTCCCCCACCTTCCGGCCTTCACCACACTGTTGTCTATGTCCATGGTCTATGCATATATGAATATATGTTCTTTGGTTAATCTCTTCCAGTCCCCCACAACCCCCACCCCTCTGAGATCTGTAAGTCTGTTCCATGCATCCATGCCTCTGGTCCTACTTTGTTCATCAGTTTATTTTGTTCATTAGATTCCACATAAGTGAGATCATATGGCATTTGTCTTTCTCTGACTTGCTTATTTCGCTTAGCATAATAATCTCCAGGTCCATCCATGCTGTTGTAAAGGGTAAGAGTTCCTTCTTTTTTTTTAACAGCCACATAGTATTCCAAAGTGTAAATGTACCACTGTTTTTTTATCCACTCATCTACTGATAGGTACTTGGGCTGTTTCCAGATCTCAGCTATTGTAAATAACGCTGCTATGAACATAAGGGTGCGTATCTTCTTTCTGATTGGTGTTTCGGGATTTTTAGGATATATTGCCAGAAGTGGGATCACCGGGTCAAATGGCATTTTTAACTTTTTAGGAAACTCCATACTGTTTTCCATGATGGCTGCACCAGTCTGCATTCCCACCAGCAATGCATACATGCTTTATTAAGACGTTAAAAATACTACCCACTCCCCACCCTCCAAGTAATAAAAATCCTGTCCCTCGCGGACATTTCCATCCTTTGAAACGGTGCAAGCCACTGTCACTCTTCTTCTAGCTCCTCAAAGGCCTTGGGCCACCTGTGCCGCAGATTATTCCTCACTTAACCTTCCCTGGCCTTTCCAGTTCATTCAGGAGGTGTTTAATTACCTAGGATTCACAAGCTGCTCTTCAGGTGAGCCTCTCCTAATGGCCTCATTACCATTTTACACAAAGAGGTAGTCGCTGATGGTAACTGAGCAAACACGAGCGTGTGCCTTCCCACCTGCCCAGCTGGTCTGAAACCAGCCAAGTGGTCCTGGGCTCTTGGTGCCCCTGTGACCACTTAGGCCAAGACTTCTGAAGACCTCTCCTCACCCTGCAACATGCGGAAGCTTTTGTCAGCACTTCAAACTTGGGAACTTCAAGTGTATACACATCTGATAACTGGTGGTAGCATTTTGTCCTTTAAATAAAACTGAGGGAAGAAATCTAAGGCTCAAATAACCCAGTCAGACATCTAAAGCTGAGCTTGCTGAGTGCTCCTGGAGGGTCTGATCAGATCCCTGACATCGGGGTGCTTTGGGCGTAAGTTGGAGGTGGCGGAAATGCGGATGAGGATGGCGTCCTGCTGTAATTAGGCATCATAGGAGGCAGGCAGAAAACAAAGGGAAGGGAGTACAGAGTTGAATTCATCAGCGTCTCCCATTGTGGATACTACAGCATCCTCCAGCCAGCCTCCCAGGACAGATTCTGATGCTGGATCCCCGACTTCTCTTTTCATTTCCACCATTCTCATGTCTTATCAACACCACCCTAACTATGTTCTGAACCTGCTCTCTCCTCTCAGAGCCCATGACCTTGGCCCTAGCCTAGGCCCTTCAGGACCATCAGTCTCTGTCCCAGACTGGTGGAGCAGTAGTTCCCTAGACAGGCTCTCTGCCTCCAGTTTCCCCTCAATGCCATCCACCCAGAGCTGTCCTAGTCATTTTGGGAAAACATGAATCTGATCAACTCAACCCCTCCTTCAGATCCTTCAATGCCCCCACCCTTGTCCACCAGGACCTTCAGAAACCATCCCAGTTCCTCAGAGCAGCCTGAGGCTTTCCTCAGTTGGCCTGGCTTCCCTCTCGCAGCCCCATGGCAAGTTGTACTCGACTGATACTGAATTTCTATTAGAAGCACATATGACTGTCCAGTCAATACACGCGCTGACAACTCAGAGGGAGCTGTCCCTGTCCCTTCCTGTCCTGCTTGAGAACATCTCTTCACCCTCTGAAAGACCAGCCAAGCGTCCACCAATGGGGCCGATGAAGTATGTTACACCACATCCTCACTATGAAGCACAGGATAGCTAACAGAATGTGGATGTAATCTGTAAACTGACATGAAAGGATGGCCACAAAATATTGCCAAATGGGAGGAAAACACGCGAACTGCAGAACAATATGTACAGCATGAAGCATTTAAGAATTATATATGTACATATCTGTAGTATAAATCTAAAATGCCATGTATCGAGCATTAACCATGCAGAGATGCTTTCTATTTTATGAACTTTTGATTGTTTTGATTATCCTTTATAAAAAAGCATATGTTACTTTTATAATAAAGAATTTAAATGAGGTATTTTTCTTTAATAGTCAAATTAAACACTGCCTTGGGTTAAGGGAAAGACGGAAGCCAGATGTCCCCTCATCTGCAAAGCCTTCCCTAACCCCTGAGACCTGGCTAATGACACTGCCTGGGCCCCTGGGACTGCATAGGTGATTCTTTGGTGAGTTGCCGTGTCTACCATCTTTCCTGCCAGTCTCCGAGTTCCCAGAAGGTCCACAGGGCCTGGTCACCCAGCAGTTTCTTCTGAATGAAAGAACAGATGGCGAGTGTTCTGACCTCTTGCAAGGCATTTCCAGTGGCTGAGCCTCTGCCTTGAGGCAGGTCTAGGATCACATTTGGTCATTAGAAGAAAGTAGTCTTAGTTGGGTAGGGTTGGGGGAGAAATTGACACTCATTCTGTCCCCTTATGCAGAAGGCCATCATTAAGATGAAAACCAAATTGCAAGGCAAATGGACCCGTGGTTGCTGAATGAGTTAACGTGGACAACTAGACCGGTCTTATACAACACTGCAAACGCAACATGTCCAATAACAAATGCAGCGTTCCCTACCCACCCGGCTCCTGTTTTACCTGGTCACTGTAGGCTCTACCTCTCAGGTCTCCTGGCTTCACCTGCTTCTCTATCCCCCTGCATTCCGCACGCAGGAGAGAGTAGAGCTTGCATCACATAAGCCAAAGTCTAAGGTTAGAAACCTGGCTTCCCTACTCTCTTAGCCTTTCTGAGCTTCAGTTTCCTCTGCTGTGAAATGAGGCATCTGCAACCAACATGCACTGTGAGGACAGAAACATATTGGGTGTAAAATGGATAATGGATGTGGCGGACTGCCTAGCTTTTTGGTATCAGTTCAGACTTCATCTTTTACCTGGACTGCAACAGCCTTTCACAACTGGTGGCCGTTCCCCTATTTCCTTTTTGGTCCAATCCATCCTTTGCATTGAACTGTCTTCCTGAAACAGCAGGTTGAATCTTATCACTCCCTTCCTCTAAAATCTGCAGCGGTTCCATGCTGCTAACATAACGCGCACACTCCTGAGCACGATGTTCAAGGCCTTCCATGGGCCCGGCTCAAGCTCCGTTTCCCACGTTGTCTTCTCTTCAATTTCAGAGGCCAAGAAATCATCCCTCGGCCTGGGATGTTCTTCATCCTACTCTCTAACAAAACCCTCCTATAAAAAAATAAATAAAAAGTAACAAAAGGCCTCTGACTCTCTGTGATGTCCTCACACAAAGAGCTCTTCCTAGGGCACACTGTCCTGGGCTCAGGCGGATGCCTCACCGTTGCAGGCCCCACGCTGAGGCTGTGCTGGGACAGAGCTGCACAGGACCAGGGCCCAGCTCCTGACATGCAGTTAAGCTCCCCCAGCCCAGCCCAAGTTAGCTTATTTCTGCTTCAAAAGGGGCTCCCGTGTTGTTTACATCACTGTCCTATCATTTAGCCTTTTGTACAACCAGAAGTTTATATATCTTCCTCCCCACTAGAATGAAAATAACCCTTGCAATTCATACTGGCTCTCAACAAATACAGAATTATTTGTCACTTGGTAGTGACTTGAGGGGGAGGGAAGGGAGAATAAGATGGCATACTGTTCATCTGTCCTCCTCTAAGACTCTCCCATCCATCTCTTTCCATCAG